TTTGCGGTACGCGGGCCTCTCACTGTTGTGGCCTCTCCCGTTGCGGAGCACAGGCTCCGGACGTGCAGGCTCAGCGGCCATGGCTCACGGGCCCAGCCGCTCCGCGGCATGTGGGATCTTCCCGGACCGGGGCACGAACCCGCGTCCCCTGCATCGGCAGGTGGACTCTCAACCACTGCACCACCGGGGAAGCCCAGTTGTTTGTTTTTGCACAAGTGGTTTGAACTGAGTTCCAGGTTGCATCTATGCCAGGACATTATTGGCTGTATAGGGTAGCAGCTGGCCACTAAAGTTCTCTGTTACCAGGGGGCATTACTTATACCCTCTTAGCCTTTGGCACATACGTCAGTGATAGTGGGGTCAATTTGTATTGGTTTTGTATGTCTTTGTACCCGATCTTTGTTCCCAGGGCTTAATTAATTAAGGCTTGGGCATCCAGGAGCTTCCAAACGGTGGCTGAATATGCCAAGCAGGGAATTTAGGATTGAGCCCTAAATTCAGTACCGGAGATAAAAGTAGATCTTTCAGGGGAAATGGTACTTGGGAGGCGATAAGCAAAAAAGAGGCACTCACTGCATTCTTCTCTCCCTTCCAGGCAGTAGAGCGAGTCCTGTACCCACACCTGTCCACTTACTGGACAAATTTGCAGGCTGTGCTAGATGATTATTCAGTATCGAATGCCCAGGTTAAAGCAGATGGGCACAAAGTCTATGGAGCCATTCTGGTGAGTGCCAGCCCCTTCCAGCCTCTCCTCCCTGCATGAGCACAGCAGCTCAGCGGGCTTACTTTGGAACACTTGATAGGCCCAGGTTCCTCCTATCCTAGTCCCCCTGCTCTTGCAGGTGGCCGTAGAACGACTGCTGAAGAGGAAGGCCCAGGCAGCAGAGCCCAACAAGGGTGGGCCAGGCAGCAGGGGCTGCCGCCGCTCAGACGACCTGCCCTGGGACAGCCTTCTCCTGCAGGAGTCTCCCTCCGGGGGCAGCGCAGAGCCCGGCTTTGGGTCTGGTCTCCCGCTGCCGCCAGGAGGCGCGGGGCCGGAGGCTCCTTCCCCTTCGGTGACCCTGGCGGACATCTACCGGGAGCTCTACGCCTTCTTCGGTGACAGCTTGGCCACCCGCTTTGGCACGGGTCAGCCCGCGCCCACGGCCCCGCGGCCGCCTGGGGACAAGAAGGAGCCGGCGGCCGCCCCGGACTCGGTGCGGAAGATGCCGCAGCTGACCGCCAACGCCATGGTCAGCCCGCAGGGCGACGAGAGCCCCCGGGGCGGAGGCCCCCCGTCGGCCTCTGCCCCCACCGCCTCTGAGAGCAGGCCGCTGCCGCGCGTGCACCGGGCGCGGGGGGCGCCCCGGCAGCAGGGCCCGGGCGCCGGCACCCGCGACGTCTTCCAGAAGAGCCGTTTCGCCCCGCGCGGTGCCCCTCACTTCCGTTTCATCATCGCCGGGCGGCAAGCAGGGAGGCGATGCCGCGGGCGCCTCTTCCAGACTGCCTTCCCCGCGCCGTACGGGCCCAGCCCGGCCTCCCGTTACGTGCAGAAGCTGCCCATGATCGGCCGCACCGGCCGCCCGGCCCGCCGCTGGGCGCTCTCGGACTACTCGCTGTACCTGCCGCTGTGAGGCGGCACTGGCCTCTGTGAATAAATCCCGCGCCCGGAAGTGACGTCTCCGCGCTCGTGGGTCGCGCCGGATGAGGCGGGGCTTGGGCGGTTGGCTCCCACGGCGGCGCTTCCTGGTGACGAGGGAGCCATGGCTCTCTCTTGGCTGCAGCGCGTCGAGCTCGTGTTCTTTGCTACCGCCTTCGTGTGCGGAGCCGTGGCGGCCGCGGCACTGACTCGGACCCAGGTGGGGCTGTGGGACGGGGCCGGCCGTCGGGCCGGGTCAGCGGGGGCGGGCAGGCCGATCCTGACACGGAGAGTCCGCTGCTGTCCGGGCCGGGGGCGGGGGCGGGGGGGGGGCGGGTTCTGGCGCGCTGCTCCTCTCAGCCGGTGGGCCGGGTGGGGCTGGTCGGCGGCGGAGTTGCATCGGCGGTAAACGCGCTCTGTCGATCCGTCCGCCCAGGTCATACTCTGGCCAAAGGAACGAGTCCTCAGGAGAGTCTTAACAGCATGAGATATAGCCCGGCCTGGTGACTCCCTCTGCATAACGTCACCCTGGCTGTGAAACAAGTTGGTGCAGGGCCCCCTAAATCAGACACTGTTGTGCTGAGCTACTCCAAGAAATAAAGCTTAGCGTAGTGGAGATGACCACACTAGCAAATGGTTGCAACAGAATGTGTTAAATGGCAAAATAGTGATGTAGCAGAAGCCAAACGTTTAGGCCGAGTGTTTATCGCAGCCAGGCAATCATGTTAATAAACAGGTTCATTTAATCCCTATAAGTAGGCGCTATTACGCCTGTTTTACAGATCAGAAAACATCGGAGATAGCTGAAGGTCACACAGTTCTGGTTCTACTCTAGGATTTCTGCACGAGGGGAGACCAGAACTTGTGAGGCAACTCTGAAGCTCTTTGTATTTCATACCTACCGCCTATTTCCTGATCCTTCTGGCCACTCACTGCAGGTTTGATTTCCCCAGAGGACTCATTAATCTGCTGGCCCAGAAACAGGAACTGACAGTGCACAAATAACTCCCTAGAGCGGCCCTGGTCTAGATTATCCCCAACACCTGCCATGAGCCTGCATCCAGAGGCACCAGCCTGCAATCTAGGACTCAGCAGCTTCTTTCCACAGGGCTCCTTCAGTGGCAGCTGTCCCCTGTATGGTGTGGCTGCCCTGAATGGCTCCTCCCTGGCCTTGTCCCGACCCTCGGCCCCATCTCTCTGCTACTTTGTGGCTGGGGCCTCTGGCCTGCTGGCCCTCTACTGTCTCCTGCTTCTGCTCTTCTGGGTCTACAGCAGCTGCATCGAGGATTCCCACAGGTGACTGCCCACTCCGAGGGCCGGGGGCTGAGATGGGAGGAGTCCCACCTCAACCACAAGGTTTATTCTCTCCCTCCTTATAGAGGCCCGATAGGGCTCCGCATTGCACTGGCCATCTCAGCTATAGCCATCTTCCTGGTCTTAGTGTCTGCCTGCATCCTTCGATTTGGCACCAGTTCCCTCTGCAAATCCATCATCTCCCTGAACATAACTAGGTAATGGGAGGGGGAGGGAAGCCTGGCTGGGGCTGACTGGCTACCTTCCCTCTGTAGAGGGGATCCTATACACCCCGCTTTATATCCCCATCAGTTCTCAAAGGGGCACTGGAGCACAAGGGTATTTAGGGTATGTCTCCCCTTTCTCACAACTGTCTCTTTGACCTCACAGCTGCTCTGATGCCCAGAAAACTCCATGGATACCCCCTGGAACCGCTCTGCAGTTTTACTCCAACCTACACAATGCTGAAGTGAGGTCCTGGGATATGAAAGACTGGGTGGAGATTGCGGGATACACAGATTCACACAATGAGTCATATAACACAATCTGCAGGTGTAGGAGTCCTCACCAGTGTACTCTGAGCTTGGCCCACCAGTGAGGGGCTGAGAGGAGCTGAAGGCTTGACGGCCTGACAGTGAACAGCTAAGAGTGGTGTGTGGGTGGAACTGGATTCGAGATGGGCCCACTCCTCACACTCCTGTTCCTGTCTCCCACAGACCTCTTCTTGGGTGAATCTGGTATTGTGGTGCGTGGTCTTGGTGCTCCAGGTCGTGCAGTGGAAGTCTGAAGCCACTCCATACCGGCCTCTGGAGAGGGGGGACCCTGTGTGGAGCTCTGAGACAGATGCTCTTGTTGGGCCACGCCTTTCCCATTCCTGAAGACTAACCAAAGAGTACTCCTGCCGCCAGACTCCGTGCCCAAGTGCCTGCAGTCCTCTTGCCCCCACATGGCCCACACGGCTGGGAGCCTGAGTTTTCCCTCCAGGAGGGAAACATGATTAACAGACCCCCTCTTCCTACAGCTGTTTTTGTACCAAAGTATTATATTACTTTCTTTCTTCATCTCAGTACTGAGTTCTTGGTGTAAAGCACTGTAGGTAGGGTGGATGGGAGTAAGGAGTGAAGGCGAAACAGGCATGGATCAAAACTTTGAGGTACTGACAGGTAGCTGCCCTTGGGATGACTGCTCCTTTATTTGCTGTTAATGAATTTGGGGCCTCTTGTGTGACCCTGGTTGTCACCCCATTCCCTAAGGTTCAGTTTTGATTCCCCTCTGGGAGGGGTGAGTGACCTGAGGTGGTTTCTTCACAAGCTACGGTAGGCACCCACAGTGTTGTCAAAGAGTTTCGTGTTGGGGAAGTGTCCAGCTTTGTCCAAGAGGAAGTAGAATCGTCGGCCTTTGACCTTCAGAGGCAACATGGCAGGGACTTCACCCCGGTGGGCCATGCAGGATACTTGGTCCAAGGGAACTGTAAAATGGGCACCCCAGCCAAAGGGGGCATGAGTGGTGAGGGTCACTTGCTTCCCTCCAGCCTGTAGCATCACTGAGCGCACAGAGCGGAAGGAAAAGAGAAGACCAGCACCAAGTACCAGGGTACCTGCAGGAAGAGCAAAGATTGGGGTTTTCCCTGGAGAGCTAAGAAGCAACCCTTACCGTGTGCCCCCAAATAATAAAAAAAAAAAAAAATTGTGATGATAGTAACATTTACTAAGCTCCTCCTATACCCCCATCATGTATTAGTCATTCCTCCCAAAAGCCTTAATAGATACTCACACCCATTTTAAAACAGGGTCCAGAGCGTAAGTACCAACTCGCTCAAGGTCACAGAGTGAGAGGCAGACTTCAGCCTGAACCTGTACGAGGGCTTGGCGCTCGGGGACGTCCGACTCCAGTGTACCACACACCTATGAGGGTGGCCTGTCCATCCTGGAGGGTCGGGAGCCCCTTACTCTTCTTGCCCAAGCGGAGAGGATTGTGCCCGCCCTCCTCGACCCATGCCGGGAAGGCAAACCACACCTTACCGATGGCGCCGCAGCCGACGGCAAGGCCGTAGCGCCAGAGCGCGGAGCGCAGGTCCAGGCGGCCGCGGCCTGGGGACTCGGCGCCTGGAGGCCGAGTGGAGGCCGGCGGGCGGGCCAAGGCGGCAATGGCTAGGGAAGCCCAGAAGACGCCCTGGCCAGCGCAGAACAGCCCGAGGACGGCGAAGAAGCGACCCCCTTCGTGCTCGAAGAGCAGCACGTCCCGTGGCGGGGCCACGTCATGCAGAGCCCTGCGCGCGGCAAGGGACTGCAGCGTTAAGAACGGCCGCACACGCCACCGCCGCCCGAGAGCCGCCATGCCCCTGAGCGGCGCCGCTTCCGGGGCGGGACTTCCTGCCGCTGGCCCCGCCCCCGCCCCCTCGGAGTGCATCTGTCGGCCCCGCCCGCGCTTGCGAAGGGCAAGGCTAAAATAACCCAGCACACTGGACACAAAAATACAGTATCACTCTTTATCTTAAAAAGTAGGGAGGATCCTGGGGTTAAGTACACAAAGCACCTAAGTCCTTCGGGTAGTTTAGTGTCAGTTCTACAAAGTAAGCTTTGGCTTCCTGGCACCAGGGAGGCTCAATCTTCCCGAAGTCTTCAAGAAGGCAGGTAAGGAGAGGGATCCAGCAGTCACAGTCACAGGGGCCGGAGAGGTGACATCAGGACAGACAAGGGCTATTTACAGGGATCTTCTCGGGCATGACTATGGATTACTTCATGAATGCCACTTCTGGGATCTCGCCCTTGGCCTTAGAGAAAAAATAAAAGGTCAGTAGAGCCAGGTGGCCCATGCCCGCGTCCCAAGCCTACGTGACCCTCTTGAAGGCCTGGAAATCTCTTTTAGCCACCTATTCCCAAATCTTACCTTGAGATGAGTAAAGGCCTGGGCAGATCTGGTGTAGTCCCAGTTGTTGTCCTGAAGGCACCTGGAGCAGGGCAAGAACAGGCACCTCCATTAGAACCAAGACGCAGTCACCCTGATCTCTAAATGCCACTTCAACATCCATTCTATGGAAACACTCACCAACAATTACATACATTCTTGCACTCTTTATACAAATGAAAAGTTGGTAAAAATCCATCTATCAATGGTCTTTCGAATACAAAGAAATATTAAATAGCTATCTATTTCTATTAAATAGCTAACAGAAATGAGACTAAGGTGAGTTCTATACTAATAGGGAAAGATGTTCATGGGATAAGTAAAGTATGTTGCAGAACAGTATAAAAGAGGGACTTCATTTTGACTTTAAATGTTATGCTAATGTATGCATAGAGAAAATTTTTTTATGGACCATCTTTTTTTTTTCTTTAAGTAATAAAAAAAGTTCTGGCTTTAAAAATTTTAGGGGCACTCATTATTCACCAGCAGCCCTACCCCAGTTCACCCTTATTCCTACACATGTCCAGTACTCACTTCTGGGACCACTCAAGGTTCATGCCAGACTGGGTAGAGAATGCCTGAATCATTTCCTGCTGCTCTGGGGAGAGGGTGGGCACTGGGCTGGAAGAAGGTGTGGGTGCAGGCATGGCAAAGGCTCTTTGGATCTCATCAGGACTGGCATTCCGCACAAACAGCTCATCGTTTACGATGCACAACCTTGGGGACAAAAAGCACCTGAGACAGCTGGACAGACAGACAGATAACCTCATCCTCCCAACACCATTCCTATTCTCACGTGACACTCAGCTCCTTTCAATACCCACGAGGTCCCTTTATCATTTCCTCCCTTTCCCATGGACTCCATGTATGGGATTATCTACCAAACACACTAGAGTTATACATTCTCCCCCAACCCTCATTTATCTTCACAACAGACTTAGGAAGTGAATATTGTTAAACCACTTTTCAAATGAGGAAACTTGCCCTAAGCTAGAAGTGGTGGAGCCAGGATGAAAACCCCAGACAGCTGGACTCCAGAGCCAAGCTCGTCACCACTATGTGACCCTCCTCTGATCACCCCCCTGCCTTTCTGAATGTCTGAAGATACCCAGAGGACCGACCCCACCCTCCCCAATCTTCACAGTGGTGGCCATGGATTGGGACTGGGACCCCATACGGTAAGTCCAACACTCACCCTGAACTGCTGGCAGGAACAGCGATGAATGTCCGGGTAAAGGCTCGCAAAGAGTCCCGAGATTTTCCATCCACTGCAATGATAACAATGGTGACAACCTGTCAGAGTCACTCATGTTTTGTTTTCAAACAGCTTCTCAAAAATCATGGTCTTATTTGATACAAAGAACCCTAAGTGGGCCAGACAGGGATGATTATGTGTGCACAGGGGAGCACAGTGGGGAGGAGTATCAGAGGTCAGGGAGGACAGTAATAACAACAACACTGTTATCCCACTAGTGGAGTGTGTGTGTGCCAGGCCCGGTGTCAAGCATCTTGTACATCACTTCACTTACTCACCACAACACTGTGAGATGGCTATTACTAACCCCCTTCCTTTCACAAATAAGGACTCGGGCGCAGAGGTAATATAAATTGCCCACAGACACAGAGGACCAAAGTTGGGATGGAAGCTCAGACCTGCCTGACTCCAAAGTCTGTGCCCTTCTAATCCTCAGGCTTTTCCCATATCCCAGACAGGAAAAGACAGGTGGAGAAGGTAGGCTTGGGGGGCAGAATGAGAGAAGGAGGTCAAGGAAGAAGAGAGAAGAGAAGGTAGCTGGGAAGCTAAGAGTGCTAAGAACGACTAGCTGGGAAAGGGGCCACTCTGCAAACTCGGCACTCCAAAGACCCTCACCTTCTTTGAAGACCCCATTGACAGAAAAACACAGCAACGTGCTCTGAAAGAGAAGCAGCAGCATCAGGTACCACGTAGGCTCCCAGCCAGAGCCTGAGTCCTCCCTGCCTCTTAACCGCCCCTTCCCCAATTCCGCCCTTCTGCCAAGGAAGACATAGGTGCTCACTGTCTGGGCGCTTATGTCTACCACGAAGGAACTGACGTCATGCTGAGTTTTGGGCAACTCATTGAGGAAGGCCACAACGTTGAGACGTGTGTGCTTTAGCAGCCGGAACCGCAGGGCTGTGGGAGGAGGGGAAGCCAAGGTGAGCAGCTGCCACACTCAGCCCACACTCAGCCCCTTCCCATCCCCTTCTCCCAACCTGTTCTGCTCACATCACACACTTACTAGGGTCTTTAAGCTTCTTCACATTCCTACTATCCTTGAAGTACTCAGCTAAGTTGCTTCTGGGGGGAACAGGAGAAAAAGGAGGCAGTGGTCAGAACGGCGTGCATGTGCACGTGCTGGCCTGTATTTGCCGAGAAACTCTGGTCCTGGGCAGGTTCTGGGATGTGACACTCACCGGGCAGGGTTCTGGGGGGTGAAAGGAATACTCAGAGAGCAGCAGGCCCCATCGTGGTAGGCATCCAGGAGCTGCTGCCGGTCTCCAGAGTCATATATCGCATAGTACCTACGAGGAAAACAAAAGGGAAAGCCTGAGCTCCACAATCTGGGGCCGCACAGGGACCGACAGCTCCCCAGAGCGAGCTGTGCTGGGGCCAGCCCACCGCTCCGCAGCCTCAGGTGACCTGAGATACTCACTGCTGCAAGAAGTGCAGCACCAGATTCTTCAGGGTCTCTGTTCCAAAGTAGCTTCCCTGGAATCAAACAGATATTAGGACCACGCAACCAGGACTCTCCTCCCAACGTGAGCGCTAACTCTGTGCCCCCAGCCGCGGCCCCCTCCACTCACCTTGCAGGGAGGTAACACTGTGGGGGCTTCAATGTCAAAGGCAATCGGTGGGGGTAACTCATGGCCGTCCTGCAGAAAGAAAGTGACAGCCGACGATATAAACCAGACAGAAAAGGCTGGATGAGCACTCAGATGGGAGAACTAAGAGTGAGGGGTCACAGGTCAAGTGTAAAAGAGACATGGCAAGGGTCCATGAATCCTGATAGATGCAACTTTTGTCTACAGGTGTTTTTCTGGGAAGAATGATTATATTTTCAGCGACTGTGAAGCTGGGGGGATCCCAGCTGGGAGAAGGATGTCAGATCTCATTGTTCTACCGGCCCTTCAACCCTCCCT